AAGGTAGACTCCATTGACACCGATTTAAAAAGTGCTAATATCGTGAAAATACGAAGTGAAAATGATTTGTTATTGTGTTCTTATGGTTTAAAAACGTTACAGAATCCTATGAAAGTAAAGGTGATGCAAAATATCCAGTTTTGAGGTGAATGCAGAAAATCAAAAACAGAATGGAAAAATAAATTTAAAATAGTGTAAAATGATATGTAAGTAGCATAACACTACACAGTGCTATTGTATTATCCTTCTTTTGTTCGTAACTACCACTCTATTCTGAATCACCAATAAAACACATTCCTTAATTTTGTTACAATTTTTATTTCCAAAATTTTATTCCTTATTGTCTATAAAATAGCAGCGAAACATCTCATCCACTAAAATGTCGTTGTTCAGTGTGTTCCCTGTAAATATGCTCATAAAACTATGCAAATACATTAAGCAATATTCACCACAAACTGAAGTCCACTCATTCTGAATCATATCAACATTCCAGTCCCAACTTTTACAATTCCTTTTTAAAAACTTTAGATGATATCGTGCAGGTAATCGTGCATATGAATCAAAATATTGACCGATGCCATTCGTATTGTTAAATAAATCTATCCAATGTGAGCGTGGTTTTTCATCTGTATCCAAATTTCTTATTATATACGTTGGTACATGGGTATACATGGACAATCTATTAGCAGCATAAATATTACTTTCTAGACTGGCATGCATCTTTTTCAGATGTTGTTGCACATCTAGTATATCCATGATATTACTGCTATTATTTTTTACATTACCTATCTAAAAAATAAAAATATAAATTTCTTTGCAACCTTCCGCTAAATAAGCGGAATATATATTATATTTAGCGGAAGATTGCAAAGAAATTTATATTTTTATTTTTATTATAATGGATTTCCGCAAAGTAATGCCTGATTCTATCAATTATTACCTATCTATTCAATGGTTAACATAGGAATGATAAATTATAGTGATTTGTAAACATTAAATCACATTCTTTTGTGATAATTTGTAGGAGTCATCGGTGTAGCGTAAGTAGCAACAGGAAAGAATGAGAGATAAGCTTGTTGACTCATAAAGCTAGTAGTTTCTAGGAAATGATTTAGATTAGATATAACTTACTTGTACTATATAAGACCAAGCAGCTGCAGTCATGGGGTAGGTGTATAGTAGTTTGACCGCAGTTGATCTACCAATACTACGTTTGTATTACTTCAACGCATCAATTGCCATGGAAGTAAGTGCTTATTCTATTGACAAACTTACTTTTCTTTTTGTTGTTTTCTCACGCGCGCGCGTAAGAAAACAACAAAAACACTACATTTAATCACACACACATACACACGTGTGTGTGATTAAGTGTAAAGAAATTGATATTAACATGATAATTGTGTTGTTGCAGAAATCATTCAGCTTCGACGAAAATACCTATAAAAAGTATTACTACTCGCCACTCTTCCCTCAAGAAGAGAGTGATGAAATCGTCATTAATATTAACACATGCGATGATGGAAAAAGAAAATTGAAATCGATTAATCAGTTTTTAGAAACTGAATAAAAAAGAAAAAAGAGGAAGCTGTTATCGTCAACCGTAGCACAAGCCGCTAGAGATGGTGTATCATACATTTCTACTAATTCTGACGACGGAGACCAAGCGACGCATCTCATATAAATTGAAATGTACGATATGGAGAAGCTATCCAAGATTCCAACTACAAAAAATAAACGAAAAACCTGCTTCCACCAGGATCCAATATTATGTAAAGACTATTAAGGATAGCATCTACGACAACACAAACGCTCTCGTATACAATATTACAAAGACAGTAGCAGAAAGTGAAAGAGTTAAAAATACTTTTTTAACAATGACAGTCATTAGCTGATCATTAGTGAATGTGATTCTGTTTACTTAAATTATTATTACTTCTTACTCATTATACTTTCTGACAGGCGCGCTATGCTTTAGCAATCAGCGATCGTTCTCCTCACAGAGTACATTATATATATCTCGTTCTCCTGTTCTCTAACCTCCATGATGACCAGCAGTGCTGCCAACTTGACGGGTTTCCCGCTAGATTTAACGGGTCAGTGAGGTTGGTAATGGGAAAAAATTGTGTTTAACGGCTAAGGGATTTTTTAACGTGACGGTTATAGGTATTATAAAACGGATGTAAGTATATAATTTGGTAGATTGAATTCTGAAAAATAATCCATGTGTGTCGAGAATCGATATTAAATCAATTCATTTTTAATATTTAGGGGGAATGAAATCTCGTAACTCCCTATTTGACGGGTTTTGGCCTGATTATAGTGTTCCCTACCCCTCCGCCGCCAGCTAAAACGATTGACACTGCCTCTCGCAGCTCGCGCAAGCTCGCTTCGCGCGACGCGGTGTCGCTAAAAATAACCTAACCTTGAATTTGTCGTACATTTATTTTCAATAATATTAACTATAAATTTCAATATAATACTTGTTTCTGTTTATTTATTAAGTACTTGATTTAGTGCTTTTACTCCATTACAAATAGATTTTAATTGTATTTTCATAGTTAAAAATGTACGTACCCAGCACAGGACAGCAGCTTGAATATCACAATTTTTTCTAAATATTACTCGAAATTTTTTACATAAAAAAATAAATTATATTCACACAAAAACTTTTGTAACAATTTTATAATAAAACACTATACTAAACACTAATAAAACAGTAGAAAAAATCCAAAAATCAACACAATAACACGCCACACGAAATAGGCGTAAGAAATGAACGGAAATTATAAATAAAAAACCATAGACTACTTTTTATTGCATTATAGGATAGGAAATTTCACATTTAGTCTATATAATGTCAATCTTCTTTATGGAAAAGTAGTCTCTAAATATAAGTTTTTATGGGTTAAAGTGTTGTTGGTGGGTGCGGTTTCATGAGACCGCTAGGGATTTGACGGAATATGGTCGCGGTATCATGAGGCCGCTAGGGGTTTGAGACGGGAGCTAGATTTTAATGTTGGCAATACTGATGACAAGTGAAGTGACAACTGTCAGCGCCACCGCCAGCGCCAGCCAGCTGCCACCAGCTGCCACCTGCCAGTATCGTCTTGCTTGATTTTTGTCCTATCTTGATAACTGTGGAAATGATTTAGCTAGATTATTATGGTGCCTTTCAATAGTATAGATGGTCAAGAAGTGTTAGATTCATTTTGAATTATGATTGCTCAGTTAACATTCAGTTGATATTTTTAAGATGAATATGTTATTTTAAAAAAAGTTTACAATTTAACCTAAACTTTTTAGTTTACCTCGTTTTCTGTTATATGTGAGTATTTGTAAAAAAGATACTATTCATAAATGTATTATCTAATGAAAGCTATTTTATATAATAAGGATATTTAAGTAGTTTTTTTTGTAGTAGTACATATATATTTAATAAAATAACAATATTTATTGAGTGTTAATAGTTAAGACATTGACTTATATATTACTAGAGTTTAGAGAATTATGATTATTTGACAATTAGTTTCTAAAATTAGAAGCTAATTTGATTTTTTTTGTTTTAGAGTAAAGTTTTTATGGTTTATAAAAGGTTGATTTCTAGAGTATACAATACTATACAAATTGCATTTGGTGGCAGGAATTTTTTTATTCGGCATTTTTTTTTTTTTTTTTTTTTTTTTATATAATTTTTTTTTTTTGTTTTTGTTTTATTTGGAGGGGTGTTTTTTTTTTTTTTATTTGTTGGTATTTTTCCTTGAAAAATATTAGGAAAAAAAAAAAAAAAGGGTTTTTTATTGGTTGTTTTTTTTGATATATGGCCACCTGCTCAGATTATAAATTTTTATTTTTTGCCTACTAAATATAGAGTTTTATATGACAGTTTTATATCCTAGAGATATGATGTTTATACATCTCATGTAAAGCATAGAAAGTCTTCTGAAGTTTAAAGTGAAAAATTTATAAAAATAGTTCTGGTGTTTTGTGTGAATGTTTAATTTTTTTTTTCATTTTAATTTTGTGAAGTTTTGTTTAAATGCTGCAATAAATTGTAAAAAAAAGTTATTTGCCTGTTTTAATTTAACTTAAATCTTATTCTTTACAGGTATCATACAATGCAAGCCTTGGGTGTTACTTGGAGAAAACTTGCATCAAATATACGGGGATCCAGACCTGTGGCATATTTTAGGAGAGCAGTGAAAGTAGCATTTAGTGATAAATATTTATTTTATACAAATGTTACTATATCTATAAGTTTATCATCGCTAGGCGACGTTATGGAACAAACCTATGAAATCTATACAAAAGAACAAGATGAGTATGACTTTAAAAGAACCATGCATATGGCATTTTCTGGTGCTGCTGTTGGTGTGTTGTGCCACCATTGGTACAAAGTATTAGATAAGGTTATCGTTGGGAAAACTACAGACATGGTAGTCAAAAAACTATTACTTGACCAAATAATTTTTTCACCAATTATGATAACAACATTTTTTGGAAGCGTTGCTCTGTTTGAAGAAAACCCTTTAGAAAATTTTAAAGAAGAATTGAAAGATAAATTTATAACACTTTACAAAGCAGAGTGGATGGTTTGGCCACCAGCACAAGTTATAAATTTTTATTTCTTACCAACTAGGTTTAGAGTTTTATATGATAATACAATATCATTAGGGTATGATGTATATACTTCACAAGTGAAACATAGTAAAGACAAAATATATACCAAATGAGATGAAACAAAAAGAAATATGACCTGTCATTAAACCTAGTTAAAATGTTTTTATTTAATTTTATAATTGTTAATTTTTGAAACTGAATGTGCAATTGATATTTGTATAAATGGCAATACAATTCGTAGTTTAAAGGTACAAATAAAAAGCTTCGCTGTGATAAAATAAAATTTAATTTATTTGATACAATCTGTTAGTCTTAGACTATGGTGCTATACTCAATAAAATATTTCTATAATTAATTTTAACATTATTTTTATTTTAAACATTCTACTTAGGAGTAAGAAAAGGCTCTTCTACTGGAGAATTTCTTTTAGATTTAAGATTACTGATTACGTTGTGGATAATATTTTGATGAAAAATTCTTTCAGGCCAAGACTCAGAATGTCTGTTATTTTTTTGACTTCTGTGCAATGATGATACTCTGCTTATTGTTGGTGTACCTTTATGTGAACAAAATGATCTACCTCGGTTTTCCCTTAAACCAAGCAATGATGTAAGCAATTTATCAAGTGCTTCAATCTCATTCACATTTCCACTTTGCATGGTCTGCATTGGTGTATTCATGCCTGAGTTAATCATGCTCGAACACCGAGAGCTTGAAGAATATGCCTGTAGTCCAATAGTGCGTATTACCTGAAACATTGATTATTGTGAGACCTTTTTATTTTAAGCTAAATAGTGGATGTGGTTAGGGCAAACAGTGGTGTATATATGTTAAGAAATACTCATAGGCATTTAGTCTTCCTTTGATGTATAGAACTTTACATGTTAAGATTTTGTTCTTACTATACTTATTAGTTATTTAAGTCCGAGGCTAAAGTAAGGTTACCTTCAAAGGTGCACTGATACTTCGCTTCAAACATTATATAAAACGCTGGTCTGGTGGGTTATTGAGAGCTGCTGCCACTTATGGGCTGTGCAGATGGCTCAAAACTTAACAGACAGGTCTAGCTCCACTTGTGTAAGTTCTTTCCATTGCCACAATGGTATGGAGTTACCTGTGAGAATTTCTCCACACAAAAAAAACAGTACCTATAGTTTAAAAATCTATGCATAATGCATCACCACATACAGGATAGTAGCACTTGCTTATAACTTTACTGCACTTACTTATAACAAGTCAAAAACTTGCCCATAATTATATACCGGTTGATGCCTTCTCGCTTGGCTGGGCTCACGATAATAGACACTAATAACGTACCTAGATATAAAATATCAAGATTTTTTTTTATGGAACTAGTAAAATTCGTTCTTAGTGAGCGTCTACATTGCGAAATGAGTATACAAAATTTCAAGTCAATCGATTGTATAGTTTTAGAGATATTGTGAGTGACAGTTTTATTTTGCTTTTATATATATATATATATTTTGTTCGCAATATTTTGAATTGTATCTAATAAAACAGACAATTATATTCGAAAAACAGAATTACAATTGTGATTTGAAATGAAATTATTATCTACAAATTTTTTAATGTTTCCTTTTGGATACACAGTCGACCCATTTGTTCGAGGCCAGTGTATCCACTAGGAAACACGTTTTCATACATTTTACTACGGAATCTTCTACTTCTGGCCTCCACGAAGGTTTCGAACCGAGTGGGGTTTTAGGGTTCCTTAGTCAACTAGGAACCCTTATAGTTTCGCCATGTCTGTCTGTCCGTCTGTCAGTCCTCGCTTAATCTCTGTGATCGTTAGCACTAGAAAGCTGAAATTTGGTACCAATTGTGTGTATCAATCACGCCGACAAAGTGGAAAAATAAAAATTGGAAAAAAATGTTTTATTAGGGTAGCCCCCCTATATGTAAAGTGGGAATTGATTTTTTTTTTTAATTTTAACCCTAACGTGTGATATATTGTTGGAAAGGTATTTAAAAATGAATAGGGGTTTACTAAAATTATTTTTTGATAATGTCAATAATTTCGGAAATAATCGCTCCAAAAGTAAAAAACAATGTGTCCCCCCCCCCCTCTAACTTTTGAACCATAAGTTTAGAAATTATGAAAAAAATCTGAAAAGTAGAACTTTGTAAGGACTTTCTAGGAAAATTATTTTGAACTTGGATGGACACAACAGTACCCACTACTGGGAGCAGTTGCAGGAGCGCGGAGCGCTGCTGGAGCGCGAACATAATGGATACCCACCTTTAAACTCATAAGTGGGAACACTTATTGTGACGGACGGGAAATTACGGAACCCTACACTGAGCGTGGCCCGACACGCTCTTGGCCGGTTTTATTATTTATATGTATTTTAAGTAAAAAATTATGACAAAATAAAAAACACCTATTTTTAGAAATGACATTTATTTGTATTATTCTCATTTCTTTTAGAAACACTAAAAATCAACAGTAGATAGATAGATAGAATATAACAGGCTGGTACCTATAGTTAATAGTTTTTTTTTACGAAAAAGTAGTTAGTAGAGCTTGTCAAAGTGATCTGTACATAGCAAAATTGGCAATAGAGCATATTCTCGTTTGTTTGGAAAATTTGCGTTTTACTTCAACAAGTTTTCCTTGCCTTCCATACATCTTATATAGCCTTCGACACAACGTCCTTTCATCTTTTTCAGAGGGTTTTCCTTGATATTGAAAACCTGTCTGTGTCGCTTGTTTGATGTTGGTCGTGGTGTTAATGGGCTTTTGTCTTCTTGACGTGAGTATTTGTGAGGCATTCCTCTGATAACTGCCTCCCTAAATTCTGTGTTTTTGAGAGCCTTTCTGCGAGTATTCTCAGAGTACAAAAAGTGAGCATTCACGATGCTGATACCCTACAATACTTCAAAAAATAATTTTCTGTACTATTTTGTACAACGCTTCAATGCTGAGTTGTACGTCGCCGTCTGATCACTCAAGTCGATGCTAGATTTTCCTGTGTTTTTGGCAACGGTTTTCAGTTTTGAATGTTTCAAAAAAAAAACATTCAGCACTGAAATGCTCTTATCCCTGCATTTCATAACGACAATTCCATCGCTGGTTTGCGTGTTTCCAAAAGTATACACACGGCCTCTAAAGAAATTTTTAAGTAAAAACTTTATCAGGGGCCCCGTGTTTCTTTTTGGCACACATGAAATATCGTGGAATATCATGGAAAACCAAAATAATTTAACATGATTTTACGATAAGATAAGTAAAACAATGAAAATTAAGACAAAAAAAGCAGGTTCAAAAATTGAAAAAACATAGTTTTTGGGTTTGGCTGTCAACGTGTTAATGTGATTTGATAATTACAATTCTAAGTATTATTGATATGCTAATTATACTATAATATTATATGGAAAACAAGCAGTGCACTCTGATCGTTAATTGAATGAGGTAGTCAGGTAATGTTGACATTTGGAAAAAATGTTATGGCCCTGCACACTCATGCGGCATGAGAAATAGCGAGGCAGAGACGTAGTGTGGCAACAATACCTGTTATGCCGCATGTTATGCTCCTCGTCATGCCCATCGCTCCCTGTTTTGTCGATTTTTTTGGGTACGAGTCACAAGGACTGGCGATATGAGCACATAATCGCGGAACGCAGTTCGAATCGAGCGCTCGTTACGGAAGCGTCGTTCTATTGCGATGTATGGATGTCATCCACCATCTCCGTTGGCGAGGACGATTACGTATATTTTTTTATGACATTGATATAATTAGCTACACAACAACCATGATATGTTACAAACTCGAGCAACCTTGTGCGGAGCGTCGCGATTAATTGCGCGAGTGGAGCAGTGTGGGTAGAGCAAAGAGCAGCGTGAGGAGCATAGTGTGGTCAAGCAAAGACAATCAATGCAACTAATTTTCGAATTTAGAACTCGCGAATTAGCTGACAATTACTGTTACCAATGCTAACGAATAAGTTTGTAACCTATGTGTGTGACGTAATATGGACTTAGTTTGATTACCTCATCAGCGTTGTGGCTTTGGTAGCTCATCCTTTTAACTTTTCTATAAGTTTCATCATCTAAAGCTTCTTTTACTGCTGCTTCTAATTTTTCTTTTATTTCTGGGTCTGTTGTCTCATTAAGGTCTTCAAGAACCAATCTAATAACACAAACAATTGTTTGAAATCGTTACTTATTTTGTTTTTCTTTTACTGCTGAACATAGGTATTTTGTATAGATTACCATAAACACGATCCTAAGCAATGTATTATTAATTCGTCAGAGAGATTAACCATAATATGCTACAAGTGAATTTGTTTCAAAGTTCACAGTTCGTTTTTTCTATGAAATTCTTTGTAATAGGTATATTCAAAACATACGCGGCATAAGCCAGAGTTGTGTCAGGGTCGTGCTAAATGGAATATCGTTGTTTCTGACTAACTCTGGGTGACAGGCGTGATAGCTTACATAAGGTTATTTATAATGTTATATATTGCGAATCCGCCTTGTAATGGGGGCGTAAGATAATCCACTACCTCGTATCATCCCGTGGGTGTAGTCAGAAACTATTGAGGGAAACGAAACAGGAGATGGGCGGCAGCATATTTCTGTTAACTCAAAATAATAAAAAAAACCGGGGATTTCCAACCCGCCAGGCATTGCAACTGTGGTAAAAATACCCTCTCCCCTATAGGACAACCCTATAGATCTTTACTATTAAGTGAAATTGTACTGTCTAATGTCAACATAACAGCTTTTTACTAAATACATAATATGAAAGTACGGTACTTATAACAAAAAAAGTAATATTTTTTAATTTTTGTCTGTTTATCTGACAGTCTGTTTGTTCCGGCTAATCTCCAAAATGGCTGGACCGATTTTTACGAGACTCATTGGCAGATAGCCGATGTTATAAGGAGTAACTAATAATTTTATTTAAAAAAAATTAGGTTGAGCGCAAAGACCATAAAATCCACGCGGTCGAAGTCGCGGAGAACAGCTAGTAGTATAGCGGTACACTTTTGATAGACTAACTGTAGAGAACATGTAACAAAATACCTGTGGTTCCCGTTAACTGCGTTATCAGAATCAGTATCCAAGCATATAGATTTTTTTTTTCAAACAAAAACACATTTAAAAAAATTAATATTAATGAAAAAAAAATGAATTTGCAAATTGTATGTGGTTTTATTATCTCTGCATTGGCCGAAGAGTAAGAGGATTGTCAAAGACCCCGCAGTACCGATACTAGTGTGAGTTAGCGGCAATGAAACCACATACAATTTGTAATATTTTTTTCATCAAAATATTTTTTTTAAATGTGTTTTTTTTTTTTAAAGAAAAATGTTTCTATATGCTTGGATTCTGATTCTGATAACACACTTAACGAGAACCACAGGGTTTTTGTTACATATTGTATATTAAGTGAATAAATTAACGTACACCTATCCATAGACATAAAATGTAAATTAAAAGTTATAATTATTTGATAATAGTGATAGTTTACTCGACACGTTCGTCATCTTCGGCTTGATGTAAGTGAGCTCTATTTGCATCACGTGCCACTTTTATATCCTGTTCCCAGAAACGTCTTAAGTCCGGTGTGGAAGTGTATGGAGCCGCTACCTCCTTGATTTTCAGGAACATAATTGCTGTTATGAATATGCAAATAACGTTAACGATTGTGAGACAGCAACTTACGACCCCTGCAAGGTATGAAAAATTATATTGTCTAAAAAATTGTGTAAAAAATTATAGTGTCTTTTTGTAGGTAATATTGAAATGACTGGCTATTATCACAGACTACATAACTTCTGTTGAGCTTAGGCGCTTATCCGCATAAATTTTTTTGAAAAATAAAATCTGTCTGTCTGGTAGATTTTATTTAGTAAGCGACTCCTCGGAAAAAGGACTTACTGGGCTCTTTGTTGATGCAATTGTACAGGCGTTTGACTTAGACATGAATGATTGTCGAGGTCAAGGGTACAATAATAGTGCGAACGTGGCAGAAAAATTAAAGGTGTTCAAACCAGAATTTGACTCGATATTCTCGGGTATTTTTCAATCCACGTGGTTGAAGTTATTAGAACTTAATTTGCTAATATTCGAGTAATACAATAAAATAATGTGTCCTACCCAGTCTGAAGAGCACTTCCCAACCCCTCTCAATCGCATGCACTATCCCCGTAGCCACCACTCCCAGTACCACCACACTCAATACCACAACATTTGGGATGACACACTAATCTCGATAATACGATACGTGTTTCGCCTCTACACAAGGCATCTACAGGTGAAGTAGTCTCTGCGGTGGCTGAAGGCTAAGTGGGCGGCGAGCCGAAACAGTTGCTATTTAAACAACACGCTTATCAACGAGTTTGTAGATAAATAGAGCGTGCTAAGAGTGGTGGTGATGGGATTAGTGGTAACGAAAATAGTGTCAGCCTCCGCAGAGTCTACTTTATCCGAGGATGCCTCGTGTAGAGGCGAACACATGTCGTATTATCAAGGTTGGTGTGTCGTTCCTAGTGTCGTGGTGCTGGGAGGGGTGGTACTGGGAGTGTTGGTGCTGGAAATGGTGGTGAAGGGGGTGGGATGGTGCTCTTCAGACTGGGCAGGACACATCATTGTATTTTAATACGCGGAAACGAGAAAATGAAGTTGTAACAACTTCAATGTAATGGATTTCCGCAAAGTAACGCCCGATCCTTTTAATTTTCGAAAATGTTAAGTATTTAGGCGTAACAATCGACCAAAAACTAACGCACCTTAGCAACGTATGTCATACGGCTAATATTGTTTTAGGTACGTGCAGTCGTATGGTTGGGCACAACTGGAACTTGCTAATTAACTCGCACAGGAGGGCTTAAAGAAGATACAGATAATAAAGAGCACACAATTTTAAACCGAGCCATTTTGCGAAATCTCAAAAATCCTAGCCCGATTGACCCTTGAAATTTTTATCATAATAAATCAGACAGATCTGGTCTGATACACTAGGCTTAAAACCTTAATCCGAACTTTTGAACGTAAATTCGCTTCAGAAGCCCTGGGATTAGGTAAATATAAACTGCGCATTCTGGCAAGAGCCATGACTGGACACCATTGTCTTAAAAAGCACATGGCCACCCTGGGCTTAAGGAGCTCAAAGATGTGTCGGTTTTGTTCCTTAATGGAAGAAACGCCTCTGCACATCCTAACTGATTGTGGACCCTTAATGTGCAAACGTCTCTAACATCATCAAACTCAAACATCTGGGAAACTATCTACTTCGTCCAGAAGAAGTGAAATTTCTCGCAGCTAAGAAACTCCTATTCATTGAAGACATAGAACTTAGTAGTGAACTACAGCCATAGCAGCGATCAGAATAGATCTTTTAGGTCGCAGTGATATTGTTCTTTTTATACCTGCATAGCTGCTCGCGCAAAAAAGCCATGCAGTCTGAATTTATGGATTTACCAAAGGTGTCGTATTGCTTGAAAATTTTATCAGAATTTTGAAACAGTACCGAGCCTTTTCATCTGCTCTAATAACAGATAGATTCAAATTTTAAGCAAGCCCGATCCTGAAGAAAGAAAATATTATTTGTGTACGAATCCGTAGGTAAAACACCAACTGATCCTAAAGAATTGTTTAAAATGATCGTTTCTTACCCTGCTATTGATACAATTAAAAGTGCATTGATTACTTGACTTAAATTATCAAAATTCTATGATACGTGTTCATTTTTATATAAAATGAAAATAATTCCTGAAAGGTCAAAAAGCCTGTGTTGATTTGCAAATCAGTTGAACAGTTGGGCATAATCTGTTTTGTCTAGTAGTAAATTGGTTCAGGAACTTATGAGCTTATACCCATTATTTAAAGATCTTCAATCAGCAGAGTCACATAAAGTTCTCAGACTTATTTACCACTTCGATATATCTTACTGACTATAACTGTCGCTAAACGGAAACGAAGTTTTAGTACATTTTTTTTTATAAAATTACCTTCGTTCCTACTATGTGTCGGGAAAGACTGTCATATCTTGGAATCTTATCCATAGAGAATTCTATTGCCCAGAAGTCAAATTATTCCGAATTAATAAAAAAATTCCAAGCGCATAAGCCAGAAAGCTGACCATCTAGGCTTTTCATTAAGTTTATTGTTGGTAGCTATTTTATCTTTTTTGACACTGTCTGCAGAACAACAGTTTAAATAAAAGTTGTCAGAAAAGATTATTAATTTATTAGATTATTAATTATGAGAAGTAATCTGTACAACTAGTCACTACAGCAAGGCAGGTATAGTGGCGTCGTCGAGCGCACCAGAGTAGTGCGAGCGGAATGGACAACATTTCTTTAACGCGAATAAGCAGAACAACTGCTATGGCTAGAGCGACAGACACAGCTGTGCTTGCCCCGCATATACATCTGTAGATATTTGATATGTCTAATACTACTTAAAATCACGAAAAAGCAACTGCATAGTATAGGAACACTAAGGTTTTGTATTTAGAGGGGACCACTATGAGATCTCGCACCACCTAAATATTTTACTAGGTCCGCCACTGACAATAGATGCTATCTGGGCGAAGCCGAGACGGTCTTATAAGGTTAAAAGTATGGAAAAGTAAAGTTGCGGTCTATATACGTCACACTGCCAAACAAACCTCCTCTCAAATTTTAGTCGTGGCGCAATTTGTCCACCGCGCTGCTTCCGTGCACGACTTCTTCAAAGATGAGAAATAAAATGTTTTCGAAACATTATTTATTTCTAACCTTTTTTTAATTACTTTTAAATTGTTTGTCCGGTTGTCTTCTTAGTCCTCAGATATGACAACTCAGGTCTGATCTCTGGTCAGTAGCAACCATACTATCATATGGTCTGTAAGTTTGTTTCTTCAATTTTATGTAAAAAAAGTAAGTTTACGCTACCACGGTTATTTTATAAACAGAAAACTACTTTATGAAAATTATTTCTCGTGCAATATATATAGATAAAAAACCTAAACAGTTTTGGAAATATTAGGTCTTTACCTATGAAATTGCCGTTTTTTTTATAAAATAAGTTAACTTTTTTTCTATATTTTTATTTCTTTTAATCAAAGTAATCACCTATGCAATCGATGAATCTTTGCCAACGCAGTGGCAGTTTATTGATGCCCTTCTTGAAGAACTGGACGAGAGGCATCAAATTTTACAATGGAATTTTGTACTGCCTCTGGGGACTGAATTTTTTCCCGCTAAATAGGATCTGTAGGAGTCTGGTGAGTACGGCAGATGAAGGAAAGCTACCAGCCCCAGCTCTTGTAACTAGGATACCATCTGTTGTGCAGTATGTGGTCGCACGTTGTCGTGCAGGAGCTGCGCGGACGGGAGATTGACCAAAGATAGGGAGACGTGCGAGCTTCTACATCATTGTGTTCAGTTCTTCACAGTAGACCACCAAATAGTGATCATCACTTTACTAAGGTTAAATTTTTGTTATGGGCATTGTTTAGGTGCTGAAACGGGATCTGGACCGATTTGCTGAGCGCTTACGATTGTCAAACAGAATCCATTTTTCATCGCAGGGCACCCATTTGTCAAGGTTTTATACCTTGCCTATCTGACGCAAATGGAACAATATTGTTTTGATGCTAACGTCGGAAGCTGCTGCTAAATCAGCCGTAGATTGAGTATCATCAGATTCCACAATCGCCTTTAATTTGTCACTGTCTACCAAAGTTTTCAGACCACTACTAATTCCGAACTGAAGCGGCCAAACCAATAAGAAGTGGTGTGTTCGTTTGTAGAATTTGCTCCGTACAGGTCGTTTGGTGTTGCGTGCCGCTTGTGCCGCGTTGCTGTCACGACGGTATTCATATTTCATAATTACTCGAATTTTTAACGTATCCGTGATGGTGAAAAAGATTCAAATCCAGTAAAAACATAACGCATATCAATAAAAAAATGACTCAAAAAAACTCTGAAAAAAGTATTCCATTTTTTTAAAATAAAATTATTTTGAAATTAGAATTCTTAGCCAAAGAAACATTATTTTGATTTAAAATGGCCATTACTGCAGAACGGAAATTTCATGGGTAAAGACCTATTATCATCCCCTCTCAAGTTTTATTGCTTTCTTATATTTTTCCATCCTAGGCCCAAAACCCGCTGTGTGTTATACCTATATAACATACCTACATCAACGCTGTGATAAACAATGTAAAGGCACACAAATATGAAAAAAATACCACGTGTATCATCAAAAATCGATTAATGAAACAATTTGTACGTACTTACCATTAACGGCAAACTCGATAGGAATGTAGGAGTGATATAGCGGCACATACGACGAATTCCCGAAATATGGTTCCCCTTTTATATGAGGTATTTTCGTGCCAGGATATAATAACCATATGCATGCTAGTGCCCAAAACAAACCCTGTATTAAATGGAAAATGTTATTTTCCCCAATACAACATATAAATACTTTAATAACATAGAAAAAACCGACTACCAAAATGTCAAACTTTAACAACAAGTTAAATTTGAATCTAATAATTTATATCGTTAAGCAGCAGCAGGTCATCACTGAACCTAGTGGGTGGGGATGAGGAGACGCTTAACGCTTGCCAGTGAGGCTGCCACTCAAGAACCTTTCTTCACCATCGGTTGTCAGTTCTTTTATCGTTGGATCAATGTTTGTGTTCTGCAGTTCTGCAGTGGATAGTGGACAATTGCAACAACAAATGTTTCGAATAAACCACGGCAATTGGAATCAATTGGAAATGGCTATTTATAGGATATGCCAGAAAAGATCTCGGAAGCTATGAGACCCTATACTCGTATCTTCTGATAAAAAGCGGTAAAATCAATTTTGTTTACGGCTAACTTTAAATATCTCTTTTTTATTGGCTTTTACGGGCTGTTGACAAATCTATAAAGATTTTTAGACCGATATATGTTGCAATATCCATCTAATCCATCAGATAGATATTGCAACGTTCATACTTTATGTGCATAGGTCGTGCGTAGTAAGAATTCTTAAAAAATGCGCGATTGCCAATTATCAGTATTGCACGATGGTAGAAATTGACCGCTGTGTTATTTCAATAGAATGTCCAAAATGTTGCAGTGTCTCTTCGCACATTCGTATTAAAGTGCAGTTGTGGATTGCGAATTTTAAGTTTACTTACGCAATTAACAACAGGGGGCAACAGTGAAGCTGAGATTGCAATGCCAATAAGTGGGCCAGCACTGCCCTGAAGTAGAGCTAGTGCAACTCCGGTGCCTGATGTCAAGGCCCACAGAACTCCCATCCATAGGGATCTGACGTTCCCCCTAAAATTAAAATACTTAATATTTAGCTTTTATTTTAACTGAGAGCGATAGCCTTTAAGGGCCGATCCTCATTTGCCGTTCACAGTTCGGTCTCGGTCCGATCTCGGTCTGATTTATTATATTGGAACGGGGTTCGACCGTAATTTGACTGTTACGGACAGTATGAATGCACACACATACATTTTACTTGATAATATTTTATCAGACTGAGATCGGACCGAGAACGAACTGTGAACGGCATTATAATGAGGATCGGCCCTAATTCTTGTCTCTACCACTGTAACTCGTAATCGGGACAGTAAGTAAACAAACCTGCGTGTATGGAAAATTAAAAATAATTCAAAGATAATATGTTAAAGTCGGAAATATGCATTGCAGCAAAGTTGCTTCTTCCCAGCGTCAGTACCCTCAACTCTTTCGGAAACGAGAGACGCCTGTACTTGGCAATGAAACATATTATATACTTATGTAATATATTTTATATATTTTAAACGTGTTATGGAATATGAATGCATCAGGCACGAAAAAACAATTGACACTACTACGACCTTCACTGTAAAAAGGAGCCAGCTCACCTTGGCTCCCTCTTTTGGAAATGTATGACTGGAATACACCGATCGCCTTCAGTTGTTGGGGAATGAGATAACCTCAAACCTGCATGAAAGTTAGGAGTCCTTGCAAAGGCGCGGCATCACTTCACGCCGGGACAGCTGCTTACTCTATATAAAGCCGTCCGTTCGTCCATGGATAATGCTGCCATATATGGGCTGGTGTGGCAAAATGCTACCTAGCAGCTTTGAATACAATGAAAAGGTGTGCTGAGAAGCTTACTGGTTACCCGAATCTGGCGCAAAGTAGCCAGTCTTCGGTTTTCTACAGGATGCGTTTCAAAGAGCGTGTGCAGGAATTGCATAACTTAATTCCTCTCTCTCCCTTCCACCGTGGGACATCCAGACGTTCGGCCAGTCTCAACTTTTTGACGTTGTCTTTTTTCCACGTTGTTGACTTACCACGCGTTCGATCCAAAAGGTTTGCAACATCGTTCGTCATGGATACAGCAATGCAGTACTATTTGCCAGCATCTGTCTTTCCATCCGATTACAATGTGGGTGTCTTCAAGGTAAAAGTAAACAGCTTTTGCTTACCAGTCAGGATTGTATTTGGGATGGGGAGCATGGGGATTGTAGTTAAGCGCTGGCTTAGAATATAAAAAAAACCACATCCGTTTACAACGCGTTCAGTGACTCTATTAAACTCGTGCAATATGTGTACAAGTATAACTATGATTCCGGAAGCGGGAAGCTTTGTTGTTGTAAAAAATGTTTAAATTATGATAGCTAAAAGAAAATTATCAGTAATAATATGAACAATGATCACTAATCATCGTGTACAACAATGAACAGACGCGGTTACATTTATATAGCGTTTGGTTGCCTGCGCCTGCGCAGATCGATTTTGATAACGACGCATGTACGGTGCGCTGCCAAATATTGTCGTTGTGAATTCGCTATCAGTTCATGTCATGATATCTGGTATCTACGTTGATCAACCGATCAATCACCGATCAACCAGATACAATTGATGGTATCTAGTTGATCGGCGAGGGAACAATATAGTGGGCGTCGTTACGTAATTAATTGGATCGTGTTATGTAGATATGTTTCAACTTCCAATACAAAGTTATTCAGATCTGAAATTTAGATGTATTTTGCTTGTGTGAGAAGCCGTATTATATTATGTTATGTATATCATTTCATAGAAAATTGAATATAGATTTTAGGATTTCTTATTATTTTCTAAATCTTTTATACTTGGAAATAAACTGCTAATTTTGTTAGTTGGATTGTTTCTGCACAACATGGTCCAAATTATAAAAAGAATAATGCTTCGCAAGTGCTGATACGGCTACTGTAATGGCGTGACACGTTGTAGTGGGTAGAGGAACGTATATATGAAATTAGGATTGAGATATTTATGTTATGCTATTCTTTTCTTTGTTATAAGTGTTTAGTAGCTCAGGGGCTAAGCGTTCGCTGTAAATTTCACAGCACGCGAGCAACCCGGGTTCGAACCCCGCTAGCAATAATGTAATTGTTAATTGCAATAAGTGCTGATTTACGACTTGCTCGGTGGTGAAGGAAAAATACACATATATAGGTCACTCAATAAGTTTTGAGATACTCGAAATTTAAAAATGGAACGCACCCGTGTTATGTGTTTCTAAAAAGCAAATTTGTTCAATATTAAAAAAAAAAGTTTTATTAATTTTCCTGCTACGCTTCTCGCGCTTTTTATTTGAAAACGATAGATCTTAACCGTGAACATTTGCGCGCTATGATCTGTTATGATTTTAAATCTGGTTTAACCGAACAATTAAGTTTACAACGGTTACAATCAGCATTAGGGAAATCAGCTCCATCACGCATAGCAATTTTTTGGTGGTTTGCTGGATTCAAAATGGGTAAAATTAACGTTAAAGATGACCAAAGAACCGGGGCCCCGCAAACACGGCAGAAAATGTATGGACTATTGAATTTTGGTGCGAGAAGACCCAGGAATCACATATACATCGAAAAGATTGTAGGCGTTAGTTTGGGGAGCATTCATACCATTCTACATCAACATCTTGGAGTGAGGAAGCTTTGTTGTCGATGGATCCCTCGTTTGCTCTCCGAAAGCGTAAAAAGACTCGTGTGGATTGGTGCCCTGAAATACGTCTACGTTTTGAAAACGGGGCATCTAAGCGTGTTTCAGAAATCTTTACTTGTGACGAGAAATGGATCTATCAATATGACCTGGAAAATAAAAGGCAATCATCTGTTTGGGTCTATTCAGAAGGACAGTAACCGAAAGCTAGTTTTTTTCGCGAAGCGGACATCTAATTATTGGTCAGTCAACTCTGAATGCTATAATACGGTTGCATTACCCAGCTTTTCAAGCTGTGCGGGAGAGAAGACCAAAGACTGGGCTTCGGGGTATCATGCTGCATCACGATAACGCCTCTTCACATACCGCCCTTAGAACAAAAGCATTTATTAAGGAATCTGGTGTTGAAACTCTAAGTCACCCACCCTACAGCTCTGACTTAGCTCCTTGTGATTTCTTTTTGTTTCCAAGAGTCAAAGAAAAAATAAAAGGCAAGTTTTTTTCAAGCGCCGAAGAAGCCGTGGCTGCCTACGAAGAAGCGATTTCCGACCTGTCAGATGAAGACTGGCAAAAGTGATTTCAGAGTTGGTTTAGGCGAATGGAACTTTTTATAGAGCATGATGGAGAATATTTTGAAAAGATGTAAAATATATATTATATAGGATATATATATATATAGATATATTTTTATATATATCTTATATATATATATATATATATATATTTGTTACGAGCTTGAGGTTCGTGACAATAAAAATTGCCGATAGAATTACCTAAATTAACACTTTAATTCACTTTACACTAATTAAAGTTAAAAACACTAATAATTAATCACACTGATTCACTTTATTCCGCTCCGATGCTTCGCTTGTCTTGCCAACTTCAATACTTCCTCGATCGCACCTTGCAGCGCCTATAAATACACATTAGTACCGAATCATCCAGAACATTCAAGTAAATACGCGCACCAATCGACAAAGCGTCGAAAGTTCGAGAGTCAGCTTCCAGAAGCTTAGTTCTTCTGTTCGATACTAGATGGCGCTAGTACCGTCGACTTCGGCGCGTAACAATATATAGGATAGGATTATATATATAGGATACTATTAGATATAGAATACTTTTTGTATATCTCAAAACTTATTAAGTGGCACGTATCGTGATGAAACTTTCGTGTCTGAGAAATAAGAAAAAAAATATTTAGAACACATGTAAAGTTCGCAGACACGCATTGGGACAGCGTGGCGGATATTTCCTTTTCCTAAAAACCTCTCAAAAATGAGAGGAGGCCTGTGTCCAGCTATGGGACGTATATAGAATGTAACTTTAAGAACTCAGTATTATCAGTTTCATAATTATTTATATTATATAAGTTCAGGGCAATAGAATAAAAAATTGCATTTATTTATCGTAAATGTCATTTTTTAAAGTAGATTTCTTCTGTTTATACTTCTTCATTAACCTGAAAAGCTAACTGCTAGATATAAAAGTAGTAAAGCCATGCTGCGGAACACGCTTTTACAGAATACCTTGCAAAATGCATATTGTGTTTTGTTTGGTGAGTGTAGAGAACCGGAGTGACCCTTTTTATTGGTGTGAGGCATACTTAGTTCTCAGCGGTGACAACGCATCTGCATCTTATTCTTAATCGAGGATAAATGTAGATGTCTGTATTGGCCACAGTATCTACTTACCATCGGGTGAACTGTGTGTTCGTTTGTCACCCTTATTCTATTAAAAATATAAACCTTTCCTATTCTGGGAGGATTTAACAAAATCACCATGTTCGGAAGTACCAGACACCTCGCACCTTTGACGTTGCTTCTTTTTTCTTTGAGACATACACCGGTGGAATAGGGGTGACGGCGTTTCTATTACTGTATATATTTACCGTGACTTCATTTCTTCTGTAGGCCAATCTCCAAAGCCCCAAGGCATTTCAGTTGTTCCAAGTATAAGTCCAAAAATAAATCCAAATAGCAAGGAGACGAGCATTCCTAAAATCAAACTTTCAAAACCACTTCTAATGAGACTTCGGTCAGCTATAATCGTGCCAAAAGTTATGGACATCACTGGGCCCATGAGTGGAGACACCAGCATTGCCGCCACAATGTTTGAAGCGTTATTTTCAACGAGACCAAGAGCGGCGAGAGAGCTGTGATAAGAAAAAGAAATTATTTACAAAATTATTACTTTTAATTGATATATTATTTATTATCTGTCATGAAGCTGTTCACCATCGTCATCATCACAGCCCATCACAAGTCCACTATTCAAAATAGGAAGGAATGAATAGCGCACGTTGCATTTTATTATCGCGTTTACCACGGGAAGGGATTTGAGAAAAGACAATGTCCAAAACCGCACTGTGAAATAAAAGTTTCGGACATACACGATAATAAATTATCTATTTTATTATATTAGTTGCAAATACTTTAATAACACGGACTAGCTGCATGCCTAAATGAACATTAAAAGTATTTCTATTCGACTAATGACATTAATCGCCGCCATCTTCGCCAAACATCATGTGGTGTGTAAAAATGAATGGGGATGCCCATTGAAAATTTGGATCGGTCTTAGCTAACGAGATACCACAGAATTTTTCGGAGGTAAATAATTTATACATTTTTAGTAACAAACATAAAAATGCAATTAATGATCCATCAAATTTTCAAAAATGTGACGAATGTGAAGTGGCTAAAATAATTGACCAATTAGACTTTAATACGAGCTCGTGAATAGATGGCGTTACAACAAAGGTAGTCAAGTGTATTAAGGACTTAATTCTTACAAGGCTTACTTCTTGTATAAATGATGATCTTGAAAGCGGAATATTTCCAGATGAACTTAAAACGGCTAAAGTCACACCTATATACAAATTAGGTACGAAAAGTAACCCCAGTAACTACCGTCCTATCTCTGTTTTACCAGTAGTTTCCAAAATTTTTGAAAAAGTTATATATAACCGCTTAAATAAATACCTACATCAATTAACTTTATTTCAAACTGTCAGTATGGTTTCCGGCCTAGGTCAAATACCTTAGCCGCAACGGGAGATTTAATTATCAAAATAAATAAAAACATTGATGCAAAAAACTTAGGACTTGGAGTTTTTATTGACTTAAAAAAGGCATTTGATTCAATAAGTCACTCACTACTATTAAAGAAACTTTCTCATATAAGTATTAACGGCCATGCCTTAAAATTTTTGAAATATATGTAAATAAAAGATATTAAATTGTAAAGATTGGTCACTATCAAAGTTCCCCACAACCCATTGCGTATGGTATTCCCTAAGGCTCTATATTGGGCCCACTTCTTTTCCTGATTTATATAAATAACATAACAGATCTTAAATTAAATGGCGAAATTTCTTTATATGCAGATGATACTTTCTACTTTGGACGTTCCATAGATGAAGTTATCGCACGAGCCCAAGTAGATCTAAATATAGTACATAAATGGTTCCAATGCAATTTGCTTATAAATAATAAAATAAATACTCAATAAATAACTACATCAAAAACCTCGTACATGATATTTAAACCCAAAAAACAAAAATATTTGCAGTTATTCCCCTCTCACCATTGACAACTCTACAATACACTAATCAGCCGAAGAAAAATATTTGGGCTTAGTGCCAGATATAACCTTCTCATGGAAGGGTCATATAGGAAAAATAAGATCGAAACTATCTTCTCTACTGGGTTCACTTTACAGTTGTATTCGATGCCTTCCTTACCGTGTTCGCCGTACAATTTATAATACTTTAGTCAAACCACATCTGGATTATCTAGTTGAAATTTCCTACCTTTACCTACAAATAAGCCAAAATAAAATATTAAAACTATTATTCAATTATGACTTCTTTACACCTACAGACAAACTGTACAGTGAAACTAAAATTATGAATATTTATCAAACATATGGCTATAATACCTGTATTCTAATAAAGAAAATTTTAGATAATAAAATACACACACAATTAAAATTTGTAACAAATAAAGGCAAAGGAAAGAAAGTGCTTCGCAAGACTAATAATATTTACATACCTATGGTACGAACAAACTATGGTAAGCAGAGTATTCTTTTTGATGGAGTTAAAATATATAATAAACTACCACAAGAAATAAAAATATTAAATAGTTTTAAAATCTTTAAAAGCAAACTAAAACAACATATAATGAATAAATTCTAAATCCGACCCTGTCCATATGCCGACCGCTAATCAGCGTTAATCGGTAAATATAAGAAACATTTGCTTATTACACTTTGTTAAACTTGTATTCTAAAAGATTGGTAACTTATTCATTAATACACAAAAATATAATATAAGAAGAAGTTGTATGAATAAACTAGTAAGAAGTTGTAGGTCACGAAACTCTTTTCTTCCTTTTTAATGTGTATTTTTTTTGCAATCTGTATGCTCATAACCCATTTCTAACTTGAATATTGTAACTTCTCATTAAGTGAAATGTATATTTCTTTTGAGAATAAAATATCTATAAACATAAATTGGCGGTGCACTCTCGTGTGATAGGAGTTTACCTCCTCGCACGACTGGAATCGTTTACCACCGGCGATTTTTCCGGACTAGCGGTCGGAAAAAACGAGACTTTACGAGCTTACTGTTCAAGTTGTTCATGTGCGCGTTCGACACTTACCATCAGGTGAGCTGCACGCTCGTTTGCCCCCTCTTCCTGCATTCATCGACATCCTGTATCTCTTAGGTTGTCACTCTATCTAGCTGTTACAAATATAATTTTCTTTAAATCCTTACAACTTTCATTTATCATACGGATTGAAACATGTACTCATTTCACTTAAATTAAGTATAAATTATTCTGTACAGGCTTGGTCGAATTTTTCAGTTTTCTGTTTGTTTTTCAACTAACAAGTTAACTTGGAAAACAGTTAAAAAGAAAACAGAAAACAGTCAAATAGCTCTTAGATTACATAATACCAAAACTAATTTTATACACGGAAGTAATTTATGTAATTGGTAGAAAAATTTCCGGTCGAGTAAAATACTATTACATTGCTATTTTGATTTACATGTATTTTTACACTGGATATGGAAAGGAAAATACGAAAGTTCGCGCTTTGTATTTTTTCCCATTATATATTTGCGACTGTTTAATATATACAGGGTTACTGAGAACTCGACAACTTCCTGGCAGGGCGTGATAGGGCGTAATGAACAGGTCTTGAGATTTTTATCTCATGTCACAGTAATTTTTTGAAGTACGTAACATTTTATGATACCTATAGTGTAATTTTTTTTATTAAGACCCATAGTTTTTATGGTGAATATTTTTTGTGCTTGTATTCGCTTGGTTGAAGCTTCAAAAAAATAAATAAACTTAAAAGAAATCATACAAAAAAGGTTTTATTTTTATTTAGAATTTTATACAAAATTCTGGGTGATTATTGAAAAATCTTAAAATCCGTATATTTTAAGACCTGTTCATTTTCGGTCATACATTATGGGGGGTCAAATTTGTAGCATTTTGACTCCGCTATCACGCCCTGCCAGGATGTAGTCGAGTTCCCAGTAACCCTGTATAAGGTACGTTTTACGTTTTATTTAGCTGGTAATTATTTCATGCTGTTGCTTTAATAATAAACATGGAATTTTGCATAAAGAATAACTTACTCAGCTGTAATAATTAAAGTCAGATAATCAAAGGAGAGTTCGCCACCACCGCGTACACCGTCGACCACTTGTTTCACCGTCAATTTGGATCGGATTGACTCGACGAAGCTTCTCCAACGTTTCGCTTCCTCACTCTTACGGCTATTAGAAAGAAAACTTCGTTAACACTTTTATTAATATTTTTTTATACTTCGATAAAGTCCTTAAATATTACATGTCATTACCGTAACAGCCTATTAAAGTCCACTGCTGAACATATTCCTCCCCATAGATCGCCTTATAGGGGGATATTAGTCATAGTTGCCATGCTTGCCAAGCGGGTTGGATAAAGACAAGCAACCGTAGTTTTTTTTTTTAATTTTTAGTCGTTATTAGGAAGACGTCCCTGATTGTTTTTCTCTGTCGCCTCTTGCGACATCCAGAGGATGGTATGGGGTAGTGGGTATTCTTACACCGCCACTACACATACATACTTAATAACACTGAATTAAGTATGTATGTGTAGTGGCGGCTTAACAGTAATTCACCTTATGAGAGCCATAGTGTTGGGGATGAAGGAAAATCCATCACATTATTTAAAAAACTGGACAAGTGCATGTAGGGGTAGGGTTCCGTAGTTGGCCTTCTCAATTAGTGAACTTAGAAGGGCTTCCTGGTAATGAGTATATTAAGTAAGTTCGCGCTTTGGCCGCTATAACGGCTAAAATGGGCTTAAATGGGACGTAAGTAACTGAAGGACTTATTTTTCAAGTAAAATTATTAGGAGTGGTATTCAAAATATCATAGTTAACTATCCATCTATTAGTTCCCGGAAGTGCAACCCTAAACCAAGAGTAAACGAATAAAACTGCACGAGGCTGTATGAATGTAAAATAAGCGATTGTGGTCTTTCGGGATCGGTCTCTTCGCAAACGATCCTCTCTGCCTACCCCGCAAAGGAAAAAGGAAAGCTATAGTTGTAACCCCGTAAGTCGTTTTCTTCAAAAAATGTTTATTTCTTACAGTTTTAATTTCATTACATTACAAAATTATAATGCAGCTACTGAGAAAAAAAGAAGACAAAAATAAGAGAAAAAGAAAATGTTAGGTCATTTTCTACGGAATTGTTACGAATTTTTTATTAATTCAAGAAGTGTATTTTATAAGTTAGTTGACTATTACTCGTTAATTTGTAAAGTCTACTTAGGTGTGATGAATTTCTTTTTAAGTTCATTATATATACTACTATCGTGCACACTACACATTTTAAGGCCGAATACGAAGAAAACTGGCGAAAATTAATGTATTTCTCTTGACTAGAACTTTGACCTGAAGTAATTCTAAGCTTTAAAACATTTTTGTAGGTTTGTTCGGGTCCTTCACAAGGTCACCGTCATTTTAAAATTTTAAAATAAATGAATATACCAACAAATAAAAAAATGTTAAGAAATGATATATAAAATTATTGTTCTTCCAAAACTCTGTGAATTTTAATTTAGGAAAAATTCTTTTACGTAAAAATGTTTGTATTGTGATTCCGAAGGTACCTGCTATCTTTATTTTCGATACAAAATATTATTTATTAACATAATTCGTTTTAATTAAAAACACCTAATAATAATATCGTATATTGCCAGATAAAAGTTTGCCGTAATAATTTACCAAGCGCTTCGACGTGTGACGTAAGATAACAACAGTCGATGTGTCTGTAGCGAAAATCGTTAATTTATTGTTTTATACGCGTTTAAGTGTCTATAAATGTAAATATGGGTAGGAAAAGAAATAAATGTTACCTAAGTGGTAAAACAAAGAGAGTTTATCGCATGAACGCTGCTCGAATGTTGTATTTTGAGGTTAATACTTATATTTTTGTCAGGTAATTTTTTGTTTGAGGCTGCCTAATAGGTTGCATTTTTACTCATTTACATTAGCCAAACTGATCATTTATACTTTTCTAGTTTCAAGTGAGAAACACTAAAAATGTAAAATATCAAGACCCAATCGGAAAAGAATGTACAGAGTAGTGCAAGCACAGAGAGCGCAAATATTGTCAGTCAATGTATTGTCCGAAAGCATGGGGTAAAAGTACATAATTAAGAAAAACCGAAATACTTCGGATGTGAAGTGATTGACCAGTCGGAGTAGTCTTGTGAGAATTTACATACACAGTACCTATCCCCACTATGGGGCAATCACCGACTTTTTAGTTTTTTTTTCTTTATTATTTATGCAATTTGCATTACGGCATCTTGTAAGACTCACAAGAACAAACATTTTCAGTTATATGAGGTTCTTAACGTACGATGCACCAATTAAGAAAAAAAAATATCAATTCAATAACTTTTCGAACAATATTTTATAACGAATAAAGTACAGAATTTATAATCTATAGGAACTAATATTATAAATAGTAGAAAAATTTATTTAAGAAGTAAGCAATGCTCTCTGTGTTGTTCATTACTCTGCATCTGAGCTAGCTCCGTCAAATATAATCAAAGCCCGTACGGCTTTGATTATAGGTATTATACATGTCTATATAAACAAAGCGTAGGTACTGGCGGCGCGTGGTTTGCTGCGAAACGAGCAAGGTCATTCACGTCGTATTCGGCCTTAAGAAATAGCGGGTTAGTTGGTAGAGTTCTATATTAAAGAGTACAACTGTGCTTTTTTACGCACTCGTCTCTACATAGTATAAAACAAAGTCGCTTCACGCCGTCTGTACGATTAGATCTTTAAACTACGCGACGGTTTTTGATGCGGTTTTCATCAATAACACAGAGTGATTCAAGAGGAAAGTTTACCACGGTGGTCAGAAAAGTTTCCAACTTTGACGTGAAGATGCCAGCACTCGTCAATTAAAGTTAATGTAGTTGTGCATCTTTTGACAGTTACGAACCACAATTTCAGCATAGTTGTTATTTGACAGTCGTTTAGGTGAGTAGATGTGAGCGTTTTCGTGAAAACGGAAAAAATTGAGTATCAAGCTGTCATAAATTTTTTGTGATTTTGAAAGAAAATACGCCTACGAAAATCAAAGACGAATCGGACTCTGTGTATGGGGACTCTGCGCCATCATTTATCACAGTGAAATTTTGGGTAGCTGAATTTAAGCGTGGCCGTAAGAGCTTGGGAGCAGATGAACGTCCGGGACGTCCAAAAACTGCAACTACTGACGATAACATCGCTAAAGTTCACCAAATGGTGTTAGACGACCGCCGAATCAAAGTGAAAGAGTAGCAAAGGCTATGAAAACGTCCAAATAACGTCTTTGTTACATATTAAATCAAGGTTTAGGTATGAGAAAGCTGTCAGCGCCGCGTTTACTCACGTTAGACAAAAAGTGTTCGAATGAACATTTCCAACGCTCTATTGGCGTAGTTTAGGCGTAATAAATCCCAGTTTTGGCACCGATTAATTACTGTAGATGAAACTTGGATACACTATTATGCGCCCAAAACAAAAACACGATCAAAACAGTACAAAAGGGACATGGAGTTATCTTAATCGTTTATCTTCAAAAAAGAAGAAAACATTACAGGAGCGTACTACGCATCATTACTTGACAAACTGAAGGCAGACATTGCAAAAAAGCAGCCACATTTTCAGAAAAAGAAAATTCTGTTTCACCATGATAACGCACCGTCTCACACCTCAGCGGTTTCCGTGACGAATATCCACTAATTACGGTTTTACCTGCTTGATCATCCGCCTTACTCACCTGATCTAGCCTCAAGCGACTTCTTTTTGTCAAAAATTGCACTCGGAGGACAGAGATTTTCGTCAAATGAAGAGGCGTGAACAATTATTACTTTGCAGAGAAAAACACCGAATACTATTTGGCCGGGTTAGAGAGATGGGAGCATCGTTGGGAAAAGTGTGTAGAGTTACAAGGAGACTATGTAGAATATTAAAGTAAATTTAAAAAAATGCCTTGTATCTTTGTTACGTCGGAAACTTTTCAGACCACCCATGTATATGTATAATGCAAATGCATATGTTGTCGCGATCCAAAAATCACCCGTGCAAAGCCGGGGCGGGACGCTAGTGGACTATTATTCTGTCCTATGCAGATGTCTAACCTCCGTTGAGACAAGCGCCGTGACCAAAATTCGGTCTGGAGGACATTGAAAGGTAAATAAACGTCCTAATATTTTTTGCACACTATTATAACTAAATCGATACTTACAATAAAGTATCACTGTCTGATTCATCTTCGTCCATAGCAGAGTGCACGACGTTACAAGGAAGAACACTGAAAAATATTTACTAATTAATCCTACTATAGTAAGATAGTAATCCAAGTGTAGGTAGTAATCCTGCCTGATATAATATTTTTAATTAACAATTTTTATTTTATGTAACATAATATTTTCAACTCTTGAATATCTGGAGGGTATTTATAAACCAAATAGATTTACATAATGATTTCATATATTTACGCGAACACTATACATTGATTAAAACTACTTTTACGGATTTTATCGCGTTTTATTTATTTTAACTCAGTAAAAAAAGTCAACTCAGTCCCCCGTGACCGTGGGTATAACCAAAATAAATAAAACGCTATCCTTTGGCAAGTTGCGTATGTGCAGAAATTTTATTATTCAGAATTTGATATGCTACAATGTTCGTAATATTTTGATTAAAAGTATTCAGTAACAGCTATTTTATTTTAACATTTAACATTAAAAAGACGTATGTCAAATTTGGCGCCCCCAAAAAGTATATAAATCACTCTGAGACCATGCTTCCCTTTCTCTTCTTTCTTTTTACGATTATTGAGATTTCAGATATGCTTTATATACTTTGCATTATCTACAATAAAAAAACACGCAGACTCACTTCACGATGGACTTGCACCTCACTCCTATGCCCAATTGCGTGAGACAGTGTAGCATTGTTTCACAAATATCGCCTGTTGGTAGTGGAAATGTAACTTGAAAGTAGTTCCCCATCTTGTCGCTTGTCCACACAACATGTTCTACGTGAAGTTGTCTTAATAGTTCTTGCAACACCTGAAAAGTGTATGTTAATTGTCCAAGAAATTAATAATATCCTCAAGACCGAAATTCAATCACGCTGGCCTGCCTCAACGGAGGCTAGCCATCGGCGCAGGAGAGGATTATAGTGCCCAAGTGTATGCGCAAGCACAGGTGCACTCCCTATTCCCTCGCTCTCATAATCCGATGGGACGGTAAACCAACACGACCGAAGAGAGATAAGGCGCAGGACCAACGGCTTTACTTGCTTTCCGAGGCACGGGGGTGAGACACCGCCAACTTCCTAAACTCCGGGCAGCTACTGAGAATTTCTTGCACTTTTTGTACATTTGTTTATATTTATGTTGTTAAAAATGAATTAAAATATTAAAAAAGGGGCAGCTGAACTAAGTAAGTGGCGCAAATATGAGTCTCTGAGGTCCGTGGGGTGAGCACCTGCAGTGAAGTTCCTTAAGGAACTGTGTCCTCGACTATTCATTGCTGCTGGTGATGAGAAAGCTGGTACTTTTCTTGTTCAAAGGCTAAGCATAATAAGCATAAGCATTTAGCGAGGAAACGCAGGCAGCGTTCTTGGCACGATATCGCGATGTAGGACTGTATGATGATTTAAGTTTTTGGTTCCAGTTTTTTAATATTATAGTTTTTTAACATAATATGAATTTGTATTAAATTACCACGACTAAAGTGGGTATTTTCAAATAAAATATATAAATCTTTGTTGCATAGCATACACATTTTCATGGATTACACACATACAACTGAAATTTATAATCTAATCTAATATAATTTGACTTAAATTAAAAAATGTAAAAACCCCGAAACAAAAAGGAGGTTCATGCGCACAGGAGCTGAGGAGATGATGCCACAGACAGATTCACAGACACGTCAAACATAATATGGAACTCTCCTCTTTTTCGTCGGGGTTTAAAAATCACAATTAAAATCACAAATATAACACTTACTACGAGTCTCAGATGAAGTAAAAAAAGGTCATCTGAGCTACGAGTATAGATATTTTTAATTTCCTAAAAATTTCAAACGACTTTTAGCATAAAGGTCCCTGATATTTTAAAATAGATTTTTATGTATTTTACATTCGGATATGCACTGTTTACTAGTATTTAGAGTTCTGCTGACTTTTCTCAGTCTATACGTGTTTTATGTATGATAACTTGCAGATTATCTCAATGTAGTTAGAGTTAATAAGTTTAAGTTACAGCCTATATAAATCCCACTGCTGGGCACAGGCCTCCTCATATCTGAGAGGGTTTTAGGACAAGGAAGTGTGAGCTGCGCTGCCCCAATACGCACTTCACATGTCTTCGAAATATTTTTTATTTCTCGGACATGCAGGCTTCCTCACGTGCTCCTCCTCCTCGATCGTAGATCGAATAAGATATTAGTTATCGAATATTGAATTAGTTAAGTTTAGTAATTTAACTGTCAGTTCGATTGTAATAACGGTTCTACGGCTCAGTGGCCTGGCATTGACTTGCAGCGCTGAGGGCCGCGGGAACTGTCAGGTTCGATTTTAGTACATTATTTAATACATTATTCTCCAAATACTCAATTAAATTAATTATTACATATATGTGTGTAAACTATATTAATATATTATCATTGAGCTACTATGTACTACGTACTAGAGGCGACACTGCATTCAGCTACTCTGTTCCATTCAACTGGTAATCAGTCACTCTATTAGGCTGAGTTTGTGTTTTAAAAAAATGTCTTGACAAAAATATGCCGCTGTGTATACTTAGATATTGAACAAATAATTCAAGAAATGTCATTAAAAACTAAGGAATTACTTTTCACCGGTTAATAAGATACTTAATCAATAAAAAAGTATTATAGATTAATAATAAAACAAATTATTGCTAAGACGCCATCTCGTGTCATGGAATATAGATTATGAAATTAATTTGTTCAGATGTGACATTTCTGTGGGTACTTAAGTATAGGACGAATATATTATTATACACATTTTTTTTGTAGAAACGTATATAACTTATTATTCTCAGGGTAAATTTTTTATATTTAAATCTGCACATTATTCTTTTATTTTTTTTAGGTTTCCACATAAAAGTCAAAGTGGAATAAATTCGTCCATTTTTAACTCTTGCGTGCCCAGCCCATGAATGGCTCTTATTCTAATTTAAAGTGTGCTTTAAAACCCCCTATCATATTCCTAGACACCCAATCGCTAATTTGTTCAATATTCCCATCAGTAGAACCAATTTAGGCAAGTTTTCTTCTTTAAGCAGATGTATGCAAACTTACAACAGCTTAAATAATCATGACATCGACATCTTTAAGGACCCCGAACGTGTATTTAAAAGAAAATGTAAAGACTTACTGTTACCTGCCTTGGCAGATTAATGATTCAAAATTATTATTTATTGTAATTATTAATGGGTGTGCACCACACCCACATTTTTTTTACTTTGATTGGCTAGTTTGACTTCTTTTTGTTTTATGGTTTACATGTAGTTTAGTTTTTTTTCTCTTATAATGATGTAAAGACATATCCTTTATCTAAAAATGTAGTATTTAGATTGTAACAATGTTTATTGATATTGTTGATGGTGTATCTATCTAAATAAATAAATAAATATATGTGTAATTTAAATGTTGTATTAATTAGAGATGGGCCGAATATTCGTTTCATATTCGATATTCGGCATATTCGGCAACTTTACCGAATATTCGTATTCGGCCGAATATTCGGTTAAATCAGAGTTCAGTAAAGTAGTATATAGTGTCCATATATGATGTTGAGGTCTTCTTTGGGGTTAAATCTACTTGTATTATTTTTAGATATAATAATAAGAACCATTCAAATAGAAAGCTTGATAAAATGATTTTGTAATCAAAGAAATTTTTTCCTTTACTTGGTCTCAGTTTCTCTAAAATAAGTCCAAATAGTAGTTCTCCTGCCACTCATTTTTCTTTATTTTGGAATTTTTTTTGTTGTAAGAGCATGTCGGGAATTGTGTACAAGATGATGAAAGGTAGGTGTGGCGGGGGAGTGAGTGGCAGGGTCCGGCGCTAATTCTGCGCGCTTTATGGTAACAAGTTTCGACAGAAATTGGTTAGGGACCGGTACTTCGAGGTGATGTTGCCGAATAATGTTCGGTCGAATATTCGGTTCGGTAAAAGTTTTACCGAACTTTCTGCCGAATATTCGTATTCGGTGAAATCCATGTTCGGCCCATCCCTATTGTTTTGTTTTATGTTTTTTTATATTTGACATAGATACCTTTTAAAATATTCAGATAAAAATATAATTAAAATGTAATTGTGATATAATATTGTGTAATATTATATTAAATAAGCAAATATAATATACAAAATAAATGACAACATTTAAAAATTGTTCACGTATTTAACAATACAATCTATTATCACCTACTGATCATTCTACCTATGTTTATTCTATGATAAAAAACCAACCGCACGAACACAGAGTAGCGCACATTTTTTGTTTGAAATAGCTGTTCTAGTACGTAAGTACTTACTTCAATGTAATATGTAAATGTATTTGCTGTTGATAATAAGTGACTGAAGAAAGTGTATTTTATTAATAAAAAGCAAGTGAGTAATAATGAATAATTATTCTTATAAATATTTCAGTATTTAGCTTTTATAAATTTTGATGGTTACTTCTATCGCTACTCAATTGACATTTTAATTTTGACTAAAAAAAACTAATAAACTTTTTCAGGTTATAATGTTCATCATCATCATCATCATTACAGCCCTTCACAAGTCCGCTGCTGAACATAGGTCTCCCCCAAGTAACGCCACAAAGCACGGTCCTGAGCCACCTGCATCCATCGACTTCCTGCATGTCTTACCAGGTCGTCGCTCCATCTAGTGGGGGTCGCCCTACACTACGCCTACCGGTACGAGGCTGCCACTCGAGAACCTTTCTTCCCCATCGGTTATCGGTTCTTCGAGCTATATGGCCGGCCCATTGCCACTTCAGCTTACTAATCCGTTGGGCTATGTCGGTCACTCTGGTTTTACTGCGGATATCCTCATTTCTGAGTCTATCCCGCAGAGAAACTCCGAGCATAGCCCTCTCCATAGCTTGCTGAGCGACCTTGAGCGTCCTCATACGGCCAGCAGTGAAGGACCACGTCTCTGATCCGTAAGTCATCACTGGCAACACGCATTGGTTGTACTTTAGTTTTCAGAGATTGAGGTATACCTGACGAGAAGAGGTGTCGTAATTTCCCGAACGCTGCCCAGCCGAGTTGAATCCGTCGATTGACCTCTCGGTCGAAGTTGGACTTACCTAGTCGGACTATTTGTCCCAGGTAAACGTACTCGTCAACAACTTCGAGCATAGTGCTCCCCACAACTACCGGCATAGGTGTGACATGGACATTGAACATAATCTTTGTTTTGTCCATGTTCATCTTAAGACCTATCCGTTGGGAGACACCATTGAGGTCATTGAGCATAGTGCTAAGGTCCTCCAGCGATTCTGCCATAAGGACTATATCGTCGGCAAATCGAAGGTGAGTGATGTACTCGCCATTGATGTTAATACCCTATCCTTTCCAGTCCAGTAGCTTGAAAACGTCTTCCAACGCAGCAGTAAAGAGTTTCGGGGATATAACGTCACCCTGTCTTACACCTCTCTGCAGTTGGATAGGTTTCGAACTCTGGTTCTGTACTCGGATAGCCATCGTAGCCCTACTGTACAAACACTTCAGCACTTCGATATACCGACAGTCAACTTGGCACCGCTGAAGGGACTGTAGCACCGCCCAAATTTCGACGGAATCAAAGGCTTTCTCATAGTCCACATACGCCAGGCAAAGTGGCAGATTGTACTCCTCGGTCTTCTGTACAATCTTTTCTTTTTTTTTTTATAGAAGAAGGGGCAAACGAGCTTGCGGCTCACCTGATGTTAAGTGACTACCGCCGCCCATGAACCGCAA